TGTTGTTACCATGCTATTGTTTTCAATAAATAAATTGGATTTTAAATACACGCCGCCCTCTTATAAACGCCGCATTAGAATCACGTAGAATTTATTAAACGCCGCGTCATTTAATCGAATAAATACGCTACTTGCGCAATAAGGGTGGATTCGTGATCAAAAATGGAAAACTAACAAAAAATACCAGGTAATCAAGTAATTAACATACAGGCGACTTGTCGAATCCTTTCTCTTACACTATTGATCACGTGTACAAGCCAGATTATCATTATGAGGTCACGAGCCAGATGTGCTGATCTTTCATGGAATGAGGGAAAAACCCCTATTTGATTATTTGTACTTCAACTTTTGGTTTCACATTCAGTCGTTTTACAATGCATGGTAACGTTAGTTTTGCAGAAGTCTCGAAGATTCAGAAACTCAAGCTTTTCCAATGCAGTAATTGCTGTAAACTTTTCTCCATAGGATTCCGAGTCATCTGAATTATAGTTTTCTGTTTAGCCCAGGTGAAGGTCTGAGGTAGGTTTTCTATATGATTATTCATAATCTCTCTTGTACTCAATGTCTGTATTTTAAATTTGGTCGGACTTTTTGAATGTTAATTAGTTAATGCAAAGGAATTGCTTAGCTCTCTGATTGTTAGATAAAACATATAAACAACGGACGACAGTGAAAGTGCAGGATTGCATGCAATCTCCTTCGCCGGCATTAAGAATGGAAAACTTTTAGTCAGCCATGCTCACTGAATTTGTTTTGTCTTTATGGGCTGTGGAATAATTTGATTTTCAATGTATTGTGTCCGGGGGGTGGTGGTGCAAACTTTTTGCCTGTTCGAAGAAATACGTTTTGACTTCTTTTTCTCAGTTAATCTCTCCTCGTTTTCGCCTTATTGTCCTTGCCGATGTGATTGTTATAAATCAAGGTAAAATTATCTTCTGTTTCGGTTTTGTGTTTGAAAACGACCAGCTTAGTTAAGTAACTCTTACTTGCGACTTTTATGCAAGTCACACAACCGTTACATTCAAAACTTGGCCTTTCTGCCAAAGACTAAATACAATTTTTTGACAGCTCTAATGGAAACTTTCATCGTTCTCTTATAGAACTTTGTTTCACGTGTATTATGGTCATACTTTCGTATGGTCACGAGGCACATCAATGTTTTAAATAAGAAGGGGGACCCCCTATCGCCTGACCTATTTTTACTATTGTACAATTCAGCTCCCTCGAATTGTTTCCTTTGTCCACACTCTTGAGAAGTAAATTAACATCTTTGTAATTGACTGAGCCCGGGATTGGTTGACTTTAAGCAAGTTCAAGGCAGTCATGTTTATAAATAGTGTTTGGTAGTGAGGTTTAAAAAAAGAATAATATGGATAGATTTGATAATGTGAACAAAAAGAATACGACTATTTGTTTTCCTTTGTATTTTAGTCATGGCGGAAAGTGAAATTAAGTCACGTGAAGCAAGAGTAGATTCTGATGAATATGTTTTAGCAGGTAAGAAGGCAAAACTGGAAATAACTTCACAAGCAATGAAGTATTTATCATCGGTTTCAGTTCGCGGCTGGTGTAAAAGCATCAAATCTTTCAAAGTAAACTAGCTGGTTTTAAAATGGTCGTGGAACTTGAAGCGCAATGTTGTTTTGTAGTGAGCAAGGTCTACAATGCAAGCTGTGGAAATCCAGTGTCATCCCCTGTAATTTATCAGGCTTGGATGCCCTTAATACCTGGAAACGGTGAAAAAGAAAAATTGCTTGAGATGTGATATGGCGAAACAAGACGAAAGACAGATCCGAGACTTTTTTTTATTTTGTACAAACCTATTTTGCTGTTTTGCAACGTTATCTGTTACTAATGTTAATTATGTTGTAAATTATTGCTGGTAGTTATAAAATAGAGCAGTTTTAATTGAGTATCGTTATTAAACCAAAACCAAAGTAATCACTCTAGCCAATCACAAAGGTCACAGATAATCCAGTGAACAAATCAAAACTAAGTAAAAACATGTAACTGAAGTGAAGCGCGGGAAAACGTGTGCGAGCGAAGAAGGATTGGTTTTGGTTTCTCTTCTGATTGGCTGTAAAAGTGGCACTAGTTTTTTCAACCAATCGTGTAGGGTATAGATATACAAAACTAGTTGCTTTTCAACACTCAATTGAAAATCGCTCTATAAAAGAGTTTTTGAATAAAATAGTGAAGTTTCTTTTCCCGATCTATTATCAGACATAGCCCAAGGCCCAGCTCCAGGCCCAGGCCCTCCTAATGAAAAACTTGATTTTGATGATGATACTCTAAGAGGTGAGAGAATAACTGCCAATTAGTTTATTATATAATACACTATTAATTTTACACCATATCGTACCTGTTCGGTTAGTTTTGGTGGGATTTTGAGCCATGGCCAACCAACCAGGCCCCGCGGT